GTCCCACCGGGCTTGGCTTGGCTCGGCTCGGCTCAATTCGACCCGGTTCAGCTCAGCCCAGTTTAACTTGGTTAGACCCAACTCGGTTCGGCCCAGCTCGGCTCCTCTGGGTCCTGCTCAGGCCCACAGGGAGGTCTCACTGGAGCTGGAGAAGAGGAGGCTCAGGGAGACCTTAGGGCTCTCTGCAAGCACCAGAGAGGAGGGTGTAGTGAGGCAGGGGCCGCTCTCTTCTCCACGATAACCAGATGGAACAAGAGGAAACAGTCTCAAATTGCACCAGGGGAGGTTTGGGTTAGGCACCAGGAAAAAATTCTACATGGAAAGAGGAATCCAGCATTGGAACAGGCTGTCCAGGGATGTGGGGGAGTCGCTGTCCCTGGCAGTGCTCAAGACACGTGTGGATGAGGCGCTTGAGGACACGGTTTGGCAGGAAGGGTGTTGAGGGGCACCCTCAAGGCATTGAGGGGCTTTCGGTTGGACTCGATGATCTCAAAGGTCTTTTCCAATCATAATGAATCTGCAGTTCCCCCACCAAGGGGCCAGGGTTGGCTGTTCGTTGGCTCTCTGACAACATCGGTACCCGTCACAGCTTATCTGGGCCTGCAGCAGGGCCGCTGTCCAGCCCAACCCAGCTTGTCAGCTGGGAGCACATAACCCCTTTTCCTTTCTGTATTTCCTTGCCCCTGTAGCTGTTGGGACTGTCCCTGAGAAGGTAACAGGGAGGCAGGTCAGTCTCAAGTCCCTCCACAGCGGCGCGTTCCCTCCTGGAGCTTAGCCAAGACCACACTGCAGCATCTCAAACCGCTGCAACCCCACCGAGATCCATGGGAATCACAGGAATTTACCACTGACAACTCGCTCAAGATCACAGGGAGCTGAAAACATTTTTTTAACATATTTATTTGCACAAGAGAGACCTGCTGGTGCCTTTCTTTTTCAGTTGTATGCATGACCAACTTGCTTTGCTGCCACCCTCTGCAGTTCCGCTGTGATTTCCAAGGGCTAGAAATGATCCTTTCTGCTTTGGGCAAACAAACCAGTCTCTGCACAACAGGGTGTTCCTCAAACAAAGGCTCTATTGTCACCATCCAGGCAGTATCTGAGCAAATCAAGGCCTCACCTCACTGTCCCGAGCAGGTGACTTGCTGTTACAAGCATGTGATGACTATGCAGAACAATTTGGCATTTTCTAGTAGCTGGTAGTGATCTTTCCTGCAAATCACACACTTTAAAAGTGTAAACACGCATTTAGTGAAGCCTGTATTTCCCAAAGACTCATCCAAAAGGACTGAGTTCTTCCAAAATGCATCATCAGACCTGAAGGAGAAGGTGACCGGGCTCGGGGGCTACTCCTTTCATTACCCTAATGTTTGACTTGGAAATAAGCAGTTGTGGGGGAGTTACACTGATCAGCAAGCCCATCCTTCCATGTGAGCTTCATATGGGTGTTATTTAACATGAGTTACATACATATGAGAGTTTTTACTCACATGTATGTGAGTTAACAAGCACTAAGGTTAAGTACAACCTCAGAAACCTGTGTGCAGTCTCACAGCAGCTATGGGCAGCTGTGCCTTGGAGCCTATCTGTTGTGGTGCGCACGCCCAGAGGAACGCAAACATTTCCACTTGCAGATAATGCCGTTCTCTGATAGCATTTTCTCCAGAATCTACAGTTTCAGTGAAGGCAGGAAAATCTTCCGCAGAATATTTCGTTTATGGTGTGCTGGGAATTGCACACAAGGAGGGCACCAGGCTTTTAGGAGTGAATTTTCCTCAGGTTTTGGGGTCAGCGGGCTCTACTCACGAGTGGCTCTAAGTCCTTTGGTACAAG